GGGGGGGGGGGGGGGGGGGGGGGGGGGGGGGGGGGGGCACGCATGGGGTGTGCGGCCTGCCGGACCGTAGAGCAAGTACAACTCGCCCTTGTCCGCTCCAGATTGCTATCCCACGGAATGGCCAGGAGGCGAAAGAGGCAACAGTACAAAGACGCAGACGATTGTGTGTCCTTGAGTAAAACGAGCCTTGAGACATAGTCTAATCTCGACCAACAAAACCCGCTCAGTGCGTGAACACACAGGTGCGCAACAAATAAGCAACAGCAGTGTAACAGCAGCGCAACAACTGGGCTTGGCTCAGCTCACCTTCTGCACGAAGAGGAGCTTCATGTTCACCACCAGGGTCATCGACTGGAAGGCGGTGTGTCCGAATCCCAGCACAGACGGCGTCTCCCCCTTGAACACCGGACCCCCCATTTGCAAGAAAATGAGCGGGATCGTCACCCAGCACGATTCCAACACCCCCTGCAGAAAACAAGAGAAAAGTTGGAGGTGTCAGGGTTACTTTTTGCATCAAGAGACGTGAAGTGGTTCGAACGCTGCCCTCCAGCTCCAGCCGTAACCGTAACGCGCACACCCTCCACCAAAACGTCCAACACCCGAGGATGGTACACGCCGTAGTGCCGGTGCGTACCCAGAGAAGAGAATCGACCGCCACTATTCGAGGCACAGAATGACTTGGCGGTTTAGTCTGTGCCAGCCGAACAAGCCGGCACTGCACCGGGCACCGGCACTGTTTGACGTACAAAATGACGCAGTGACTCAACCTGTGCCGGTTGAGCAAGCCCGCACAATTCAACCCGCACTACACAGGCCACACACAGAAGGACTTGGTGATTCAAAAATGATTCGGCGGCTTGGTCTGTGCCGGAAAGCTGGTGCTTATGCCGGGTACCCGCACTATTCAACCGGCACCAAACAAGCCGCACACAGAAGGACTTGGTGATGCAGTCCGTGCGAGCCCATTAAACCAGCGACCGGCACTATTCAACTGGCACTAAGCAGTCGCCCCCC